CCACTTCAGGACTCTCAAAGGAAAGCATGTAAGGGCTGGACTTGACAATCTGGAAAATTTTCCTACAAAGTGTAATTTTTCAGCCCAGCCAGTGTGGCTCAGTGTGGTTGAGCGTCAATCCAGGAACAAGAGGTTACTGGTTCAATTCCTGATCAGGGCACATGCCCAGTTGCAGGCTCGACCCCCAGTGGTGGGGGTGCAAGAGGCAACTGATGGATGATGTTCTGTCTCATCGATCTTTCTCTCCTTTTCTCTCTCTAAAATCAATAAAAATATATTCAAAGTGTAATTTTTCAAAAGGAGAAAAGCATCTGGACTTCAAAAATAAGTCCATTCTTGAACCAACAGCAACTTGAATTAATATTTCAAAATATGTAATTTTCAACCGTATTTAACCATTTTTTTCTCCACATTCCCTGGAACAGCACCCGGCCCAAGGGAAGTCCTCATTGTTACCTTGAATTATCACACTGCAGGAAGGTCTCTGGCAAAGTTGTGGATAAATTGAATATGAATGAAATAAGTGCTGAAGAAACATGGAAGGGGAGGGACCGATGGTGGAAGGGAGTTACAGGTCAGAAGAGCATCTTCTTCCTCATTCATTGGTACATCACAATGACCAAGATGAAATCTGAGCAGTAATGATGAAAAGTGAGGACTGGACTTCCTACATTTTATCCGAGACCTGTCACTTATTACCACCGTGACCTTGAGCAAGTTACTTAAAGTCTCTGAACCTCTGCTTCTTCATCTAGAAAATGGGAATAAAATCATACTGTCGCTATGGCTGTATTAAATGAGTAAAGTATCCAATTAAAACAAAAATCCTGACAACCTAGTGCAGTGATGGCGAACCTTTTGAGCTTGGCGTGTCAGCATTTTGAAAAACCCTAACTTAACTTTGGTGCCGTGTCACATATAGAAATTTTTTGATATTTGCAACCATAGTAAAACAAAGACTTATATTTTTGATATTTATTTTAAATATTTAAATGCCATTTAACAAAGAAAAATCAACCAAAAAAATGAGTTCGCGTGTCACCTCTGACACGCGTGTCATAGATTCGCCATCACTGGCCTAGTGGAATGGGAGTCAGAGCTAGATTTAAATTACTTTAAGACAAGAAAGAAATGTGACTTTTTCTATACAAAGTGGCCTCTGCTTTGCCTCAGCAGAGCAGCTGGGGAGCAGCAGCACTCTGAAGCACAGGTGACAAGCTTTTAGGAAAACAGTCATTAGCCCACACCCACAACCCCTAGGTAGAGCTTTCACACTTGGTGAAAACCAAACCAAAGCGCTCGAGGTTCCCCGAGGATGAGCAGACAGACCTGAGACCTGCTCTTGCTGGCAGTGACTTCACTTCTTCGGTAGAATGACAAGCCAAGGTGTGGGGATGCTCCTGGCTCTGACAATGGGGGCCTAGAAGAGCTCGGGGCCGTCCAGAAGTCCACGCTGTGTGCCCTGCCCCTGTGAGGCCCAGGACCAGGGGTCCCTCGTGGCTTCCCTTCTGTGAATCTGCTCAATGCGGGGATGGGAGGAAGCTTCGGGGCTTAGAGGTTTTGCTGACTCTCTTCCCTGAAAGATAACTTCTTTCCGTATTCAAGCTAATCTGGTGAACCCTTCCCCAGCTACCACCAATTAGCTTTTGTAGTAATGGGAGATAAAATACGTCTTAACATTTAAATCAAGTTTTATTCGAAGTGACCTCCCATTTGCTGCTAGTATCCACCCGGACTCTCCTGGGTGCTTTCGCACCTTCCACCTCTAAAGCTGTGAGGGTCACAGGTAGGCTTTCACCAGCTGTGAAAGCTGGCCAGCTCCCTCATCCCCTGCAACATGAAGACAATCATACTTCATTTATGGGGGAGTTCACAGCGTTAGAAAACACTTGGCCATGCAACTAGATTTCATTCACTTTTTCCTAAAATTGTTTATTAAACTTTTACTTTGTGCAAGTCACAGGGCTAGATCCTGGATAAAGGTTGATGAAAAGGGCAATTCCTGCCTTCTAGGAATTCCCAGAGCTGTAGGGGGAATGGAAAAGAAACAGGCTATGAACATAGAGTGTGGGAAGGGCCATAAATAGGGTGCTATAGGGATACCTGAAAAAGTTCCCAAACCAGACATTGGAGGCTCAGAAAAAGCTTCTAGGAGAAGATGTTTAAGTTGAGACCTGAGGAGTGAGTAGGAGTGGGAACTTGGTAGAGGGAAGTTGGTAGAGGGAGGGATGCAGGGGGAGGGTGATGCAGGCAGGCGAAGAGCACGGACGAGGGCCTGGAGACAGGAGAGAACACAGGATTTCCAGAGAACTGCAGATGGGTCATGTGGCTGAAGCATGGACCAAAGGCAGAAAGAGAGGGAGAGGAGTTGCTGGGGTAGGTGGCAGGCAGGCTGCATGATCTTGTTGGCAGGTTGCATGACAAAGGCACCTGGACGTCAGCATTTCAAAGGACACGTAGCTGATGATGTGGAAAATGGAACAGGGGTGCAGAACGAAGGCCAGAGGCCCTGAGGAGGCCTCGGCTGTAACTCAGGTGAGATGCACGATGGCCGCTACAACTCCTGTCCAACCTCTTCTGCTTGGGTTTTGGAATGTGAAAAACACAAGGGGAGCGTCTCTTACACAGAGGATAAGGCCAATATCTGTCCAATGAGTCAACTAGAAATGCAGCAGAAAGCAGCAAGGATGAACTCGGGGTGGAGGAGGCAGAGGGACACAGCCCCATGCCTGCCTCCTCTCTCTGCAGCCAGCTCAGCCTTTGCTTTCGTTCTCTGAGGCAGGGCCCATCTCCTAGAAGCCTGGCCATTTTCTGGGTCCGAGGAACATTCCTGAACAGAAATCGGCTTCTCCTAAGTGAGAGCTGAGCATCAAGAGGGGGGAGAAAAGTGAAATTTCAGAGTTGGGCCCCAAACAATTCCAACCCAATTATCTCACTGCAGTGCTCACCACAGCCCACAGAAAACAGGCCTGACTCACAGACCACAGCAATGCTGAGGGGCAGGGAAGCGTGGCTGCTGCTGCTGGCCAGCCTCTCAGGGCTCCGTCTCCTGCTAGTCCTGGGGACACGTGTGTTGGGGTGTCTCTCTGGAAGCCACAAAGGGAGGGAAGACGGCTCTGACCCATGCCCACCCCCACTGCTCCAGGGCCCTCTTCCTCCCTTGAGCTTTTAGCTCCCAAACCTGTAGCCAAGTGGGGTCAGGGGAAGCAGCTGAATTATGACCAGGGACGAGGAGGAAATCTGTGAAGCCATTCCAGGGGCCACAGACCTGGGAGTGTCTGCAGCTGATTCAACAGATGGGGAGGCAGGGAAGGGTCATGGAAAGAGAGTGAAATTCAGGTCAAAATTCCACTTCTACCACATGGTAGCTGGGAACCTGGAGCAAATTACTTAATTCTATTGAGCTTCAGTTGCCTCAACTCCAAAGTGAGAATAATAACGCCTCGCTTGGAGGGTTACTCGAAAGCGTCTAGCCCAACACCTGAAACAGAATAGGTGTCTGGGAAATCTGGCTTTTAACTGCAGGTATTGCTCACACAACTCATAAGGCACTCAGCCTATACAGTCTATTGGCCGTGGACTTCATTCGCCTGGCTAGTCTTACAGGCAGCTGGAGGGCAGTAACTGTGTCATACATTCTCTTGTTCCCATGGCATCACACACTTAATGTGGGTCAGTACTTGTTTCCTGGCTGACTGATACAGCCAGATATCGAGATCTGGGGAAGGGTAGAGACAATAATGCTAAAACTAACAGAGTCTCTGGCACCCAAGGCACAGTTATCACCCCTTAATAAGTACAAAACGGGTATTTGCACACCTTTCTTCCACCCGGGAGAAGCAGCCAGTCTGTGGAAGAGGCAATACAAAGTATTGGTAAACCGTGTGGGGCTGAGCTGCACTGCCTGGGGGCGCGCCGCCACTCTCCAGTGGTGTGACCTTGGGCAAGAAACCGGACTCCATCTGTCAAACGGAACTATTCCAAGTACCTACCTCACAGAGGTACTGGGAGCGCTTAAAGAGTACATGGAAAGCCACATACTTGGAACAAAGCCTGGCATTTACTGTTCAGTAAGTACTCATCTTCATCTCATCATTGCCAAAGCTCAGCTGTGTTTGCTGGGCTGGACCCCATGTTAAATGGCAACACTGGACATCTCACCCCAGACAAAGACCCTGCCACCTGGAACAGGGACTCCACTCTGGGTGGCGGAGGGGTACAGAGCTGAACTGTGTTTCTGAAATAGCCCATCTGGAAACCATAAAATGCATTGCAAATGTTAGTGTTACAGTTTTTGTTTTTCCAATGCTTAAAGATCTAAAAACAATAGTACAATAAGCATAGTCCTAGTTCCCACTTACCTGATAACCTACCATGAATCAGATACTGTGCCCACTGCTTCTCACAGGTCCACTCACTTAAGGGTCTCAATGACACTATAGAGTTGGAGCTATTTTCACCCCCATTTTAAAGAGGAGGAGAAAGATATTCAAAGGTGACTCAAGGTCCTCAATGGGATTCCAACGCAGGTCTGTTGGCTCTCAAGCCTATGCTTTTAACCACTATAATACACCTGTGGATTGAGTGTTCTAAGATGAATAAGATGCCAGTGGGTTTAAGACATCCAGGCCAATGCCAGTAATCTTGCTCTCGGATTCTGAGAGTTCTGCTTCCATCCCCTCAACAGATACCCTGACATCTCGGCACCACCAGGCGTGCGGCAGTGCTTTGCTATGTAAGACCTCCTGAGAATCACCTTCCTCTCTCTCCTTCCAAGCTAACCACGCCACGCTGACTTGATTCACCTCGGAAGGATCCAGCCTACATCAACCCCGCTAAGATCAGTTTTGAGTGTATGGATTTTAAGCCTAGCACAGATAACTTTTTTTCTAATTAGGACATCCAAACAAAACAAAATACTCTCCTCCCTCTCAAAAACAAATCTGTTTTATTTCTGAAACAAAACAAGTATTTTATAACTGAGAAATAAAAGACATCAAGAAATAGCAGCTTATTTTGCTTTAATATCCCAAAATATTTGCGTGAATAGGACTATGTTGCAAAACAAGGCAGAAATCTGTAGACAAGTACGTCTCACTCTGAGGGAAGAACTGATTGGAGAGAAGGCACCAGGAATTGTGTTTTGCTGGACTCCATGTAAACAATAAAGGGGGGAAAGGTTCACCAAGGAGAAGAAAGTTGCACTGTCATTTCACTGGCACATCCTAAGGATGAAAAGTGGCCTCATTAGCTAATGCTGAGACGTACTGCTCAACCTCCACCTCGCATTGTAGTGTAAACAGAACTTGGTGCTAAGGAGGCAAATACCCACACAGCAGCAGTGAGAAGGGGCATGAAAAGGACTGACATTGCCCTAGCCAGTTTGGCTCAGTGGGTAGAGCGTTGGCCTTCGGACTGAAGGGTCCCCGGTTCGATTCCAGCCAAGGGCACATGCCCGGGTTGCGGGCTTAATCCCCAGTGTGGGCCATGCAGGAGGCAGCCCATCAATGATTTCTCTCATCATTGATGTTTCTATCTCTCTCTCCCTCTCCCTTCCTCTCTGAAATCAATAAAAATATCAAAAAAGAAAAGGACTGACATTAACATAAGCCCTGGGTCCTTTCTGCCCCTTTCCCACATGGCTCCTACCATGCATCTCGATTGGCAGTGCTTTGCAAACGTACCCTTCATCAGAAACTGGTTAGTGGAAAAACCAAATCCTAAAAAGCCTGGGTGAACACACGTTATTTCTATCCATTCTCTTCAATCAGATGCGTTGGAGGGTCCTGGGGTGGAGAGACGTACTGCATCCGCCTGTCTTCTTAGGTGATGACGGTAGGTGCGGTGCGCCCCGTCCTTTCCTGGAGCTGGGAGACCTTCAGAGCAATGGAAACCAGGGGGCCCAGCATGACCTGAGGGAGACACAAAAAGAAGAGCCTTTTCCATCACTTTCTCTAGACACAGACCCCTCGCTCCAGCCCTAACTTTGCCTTTGAGCCCCCGGCCTACCTGTCCGACTGCCTGTGTCCCAAAGGCTCCTTGACCTCTACCAGTTTAGAGACAGACCCGTTCTTCCCCCACCAGCATTCTCTGCTGCAGTGGATCGACACTACAATCTATCACACAAAGCAAAGGGACAACTAAGAGTCATTCTTGACCTTTCTTCTCCCACAAACCTTTTTCATTCTCTCAGTAAGCATTAAGTTTGTGGGGTTTTTTCCTTCTAAACATCTCTCAACAGCACCCATTTCTCTCCATCCCAGCGCCAAAACTCTTGCTAAATCAATGTTCTCTCTCTTACCTGGAATAATGGTGCTTCCAGATCCACTTCTGCATCCTCCAATCTGTTTCCCACCCTGAACCCAAAGAGGTCTTTTCAAAATGCAACTACACCCCCTCTCATCCTCCTCTCACTTTAAAAAATTCTCCTGTTGCTTAAGTAAATATTTAATATAAAAAATAAAAACTACTTATCTAGTTGAACAGCCCTTTTTACAGATGAGGAAAAAGATATCCAAAGAGGCAATCTGACCAGGTCACTCCAGGGCGGAGCCAAGGGAAGCACATTTTCTACTGTCCACTGTTGCTTTTCCTCATTGAATCCACCAGCTCATTCTACCTAGGTGAGAACTAGAGAACCAACTCCATATGCTGACCACACCACTTGCCACTTGCCACTTCTCCTTGGGGCTCCCACAGTCCCAACCAAGTACTGGGGCTGAGGCCCAGCAGCTCCGGAGTGAGGGGAGGCAGCTCCCCAGCCGGAATGGTGGCACACCGGGCACTGTGGGCACCCTGCACCTTCGGTGCCCTCCCATCTCCTCTCGGCTATGGTCCAGAAGAAATCTATCTTTCACTCATTCTTTGTCCGGCATTAGGACAAAGAAACACAATTCCTTCCTCTTTTCCTCTTTCTCTATTATTCTGTGGGTCTACAATGCAGACAGCAATGCCTTTCGTTTAAGTTTTAGGGATGCCTGCAACACAACAGAGATCTGGCGATGACTGAGCTGGAGCCTGGGAAGAGTGTAGAGAGAAGTATCCTCCCACCGCCCTCTTTTTGTAATAAAAACAACTACAGGGGCCACTCAAAAGCTAATCCTATGTGCCGGGCTCAGTGTTCAGAATTTTGCATCCATTGTTTCGTTAAATCCCTATAAGAACTCCATGAAGTAGGCAGTATTCTGGCATTTCACAGACAAGGAAACCAGGCTCAGAACACTGACACGACTTACCCAGGGACAGGCAGCTAAGTGGCAGACACTGAATGAAAAGCACTATCTCTCGCCCTAACCGGATTGGCTCAGTGGATAGAGCGTCGGCCTGCGGACTGAAGGGTCCCAGGTTCGATTCCGGTCAGGGGCATGTGCCTTGGTTGCGGGCACATCCCCAGTAGGGGGTGTGCGGGAGGCAGCTGATCGATGTTTCTCTCTCATCAATGTTTCTAGCTCTCTACCCCTCTCCCTTCCTCTCTGTAAAAAATCAATAAAATATATTAAAAAGAAAAGCACGATCTAACTCCGAAACGTATGCTCAAAACCACGGTGCCAGGGATTTTCAAGTGAGTTTCAGAGAATTTTAATTAGGTGTTAGAAGAAAAATAAGCTTTGTGGAAAAATAAGCACGGTGAATGCTATTTAAACAGGTGTCTCTTCTCAGAGTATTTCAATGCAGTGTGTTGTGAATTGCCAAGAAGGGGCTAACGCACAGCACGTCCTAAACATTTTTCCGCTCTGGAGTTCTGGTTGGGGAGCATCCGCCAAGACAAGGACTGCACCTGGGAACACTACCCCTGTGTCACTGCTTCCCCTAGGCTCCCCCACTGGGCCGTCTGGCCTCTAAGGTCTCTGGTCTGTCCCTGGCTCCCAGGGCCCTCCGACACTCTGACATACTTCTTGGAGACTCCTGGCCTTTATGGTTGTTGGTGGTGGTGTGTTTTTTACACATATTTTTTATTGGTTTTTGAGAGGAAGGGAGAAGAGGGGAGAAAGATATGAAAACTCATGGACGGCTACCTCCAGCATGCCCCTACTGGGAACTAAGCCCACAACACAGGCATGTGCCCTGACCGGAATTTGAACCCTGACCTTCATAGGTCAACATTGGCTCAACCACTGAGCCACGCTGGCCAGGCTCTGGAGACTCTTTGGATGGGACTGGGAACTGAAGCAACCAGACTATAAGTCCACAGACTTTTTCATAAAGACATTTCTTGCGTGTCATGAAACTCTCTCGCTCACCAGCAAATCTAGAACCAGTGTGTGTTCTGCAGGGCAGGCAATCGGACCAGGAAAAGTGGCAAATGACCAGCTGAGGGGCCAATTCAAAGATTAGCTGTCCCAGATCTGCCACTTTCCAGGCGTGCGAACCTAATAATTGTTGCTTAACCTTCCTGTGCCTCAGTTTCCTTATCTGCAGTAGGGATAATAACAGAGTCTACCTCATTTGAGAATGAAATGAGTATACCCGTGTAATGGGTTTAGAACAGAGCTTGGCAAATAGCAAATGCTCAGATAATTGTCAGCTGTCACTGTTGTGATGACAAACCAAAGGAGACATGTAGAAAAGTGAGAGCACCTATTTGACAATGGAGCCACTATCATTCCTTCCAACAGAGAGAACTAGTCAGGGTCCAGGTCTTGGGCATTACCTGGGGGTCCTGGTGGATCTTGGCGATGTCCTTCTCATAGCTGTCGATATACAGTCGAATGGTGGCCCCTGCGCTCCCAGTGCCACTCAGTCGAAAGATGATGCGAGAACCATCTGCAAAAATGAGCCGCAAGCCCTGGAAAAGATAAGCACAGATTTTCCACCCCATATGCGGAAGGGAGATTGAAGGCTAGCAAATTACAAGGCGTGCATTTGGAGATCTAACCTCATTGGTATTTGATCAATCAGAGGATTAGATCCTTGATCAATGGCAGCAGCTGAGCCCTCAGTCAACCCGTCACTGCATTCAAGCAATGGAGGCTGAGCTCATGGGGGAGAAGCATTTGCAAGGTCGGGCAGGAGACCTGATGCCAGGGAGGCTGGGTAATGCCAGGCCCATCTTCCATCCCTGCTCCACTGTGATTTATGAACTAACCATTCCAGTTTGAAGCTTAATAAAGCAAATAAATAAATAAGCCACCAGATGTAGAAAGTCAACCCCCAGACCGGGGGGAAACATGGACAGAATGAACTGAAACCTGAGCAGATGTTTCAGGCAGACCAGAGGAAGAACTCTTTGCAAAACACTGATGGAAAGCCTCCAAAAGAGAACAGGAGGCCACAGGCCCCACAAGGCAGAGACAGGCTACTCCCCACCCATCAAGCAGGATCCAGCGGCCAGTCTCCCACCGATGTCTGAGGGCTAAAAGCGGTCCATGTGGGTGCAATGCCAAGCCCAGCCCCCTCTCTCTCTGCTGCCCTCGCCTTTCCCTCCCTGGACACATCTCTCATCCTCAATAATCTTCTTGCTTCGAAGGAAAAGGCTGGGGACTCCTGGGTAGATATGGCACAGCCTGAGGTAAGAAGACTGGGCAGGACAGTTATCTGAAGATGCTTCAGTCTTTATGAATTTTTCCATAAACAGGAGAGGTTTGTATAAAGCCAAAGTCTGGCCAGAAGGCAAGACACCACGCCACACCTGCTGGTCATCACCAAACCCCATCCAGTGTTTGCCATTCAGCAGTGGAGACAGCAGATGAAATACAGAGGACAGGCCCAGGTTGGTCATCGTGACAAGATGTAGTTCATCCCCATTCACCAGGGCTTGCTTTCTAGAAACACACCAGGATCCGTCTCCTTCTTCCACAGCTTCAACGTGAAGTTTCTAAATTCTTTGCATTTGATTGCAGATGCTACATCTACTTCAGATTTTCCCTCCTACCTGGTCTTCCATCTAAATACTCAGATTTTCTTACAGAATGTGGAGCTGCTAACTTCCTCCTCAGAGTAGAGAGCAGGGCCGGGGTTCATGGGACACCCCTCCTGCCCTCTTCCGCTCCCCTCCTCCCTCCTTGCAGCTGCTGGATGCCACGCAGGGTTGGGGGTGGTTTTTCCCTCTCTGAAGGCTCTGCTACAAACACGTCTGCTCTCTTCTACTCTTCCACCCCTGGGCCCCACCCTCCCCTTTTGTAACCACCCCCTTCTCCACTCCAGGCCTCTCTTATTCTAATTATCTCAGACATAATTTACAATCGCCTGTACTAGACCCAAAGTTCTCACAGATGGTGAAAAGGCATATGGAAGAAAAGCTGCTGGGTTAGAATTTTGAGAAAGGGAGACCCCAGGCACTTTGTTATCTGTTTCTAAATTATGAGAGATGCGCTCATTCTGTTTCGGCAGAGGAACCAGAAGAGAGAGGACCGTGGGCCCTGAGTGTTTGTGAGAAGCCTGGAGAAGGGCTGACCCAGCCTGCAGCCTTGGTCCCTGGTACCCAAAGCGGGAAACCCTAACAGCACTATCTCCATCCAGACACGGCCCAGGTGGCAGGCGTGAGGTTAGGGTTGGCTGTGAGTCACGTGCTGCAGATAATAACAGTGAATGTTTCTGTGAATGGCTTATCTCTTTCTCTTCTTTCTTAGAAACTGGAATATATCAGTCTATAATAATGACTCTCACGCCGGCTCTCTGCTATAATCTTTTGAAGGAAACGAGGAGGGTTGATTCCTAAGGCTGCAGTTCTTTGTTGTTGGTTTTTTAGATCCTGGAGCTCCTCTCTGCACACACACTCAACACAACATCTTGCATGTGATTCTAGAGCAGTGTTTCTCAACCTTCTTAATGCTGCGACCCTTTAATACAGTTCTTCATGTTGTGGTGATCCCCAACCACAAAATTATTTTCGTTGCTACTTCATAACTGTAATTTTGCTACTGTTATGAATCGTAATGTAAATATCTGATATGCAGGATGTATTTTCATTGTTACAAATTGAACATAATTAAAGCATAGTGATTAATCACAAAAATAATATGTAATTATATATTCAATATGTGTTTTCCGATGGTCTTAGGCGACCCCTGTGAAAGGGTCATTCGACCCCCAAAGGGGTCGTGACCCACAGGCTGAGAACCGCTGTTCTAGAGGTACAAAACCCCCCCTGGAGTCTAGGCTAAGCACTGCAGGATGAGGGCCGAGGGGAGTGCAAACAACCTGGGCGAAACCACTTCCCCTATGAGAACATGTGCACACCGTGTGATGCAGCCAAAAACCAGCTGAGAAGAGCTACCCTAGATAACAGGGCAGCAAGAGAGAAATGACCATAAGGCCTTTTCCTGTTTTTCCCTTGAGATTTCAGAGATGGCGTTCTAAGGCTTCTCTCCCACATCCACACAAGTCTGTTCCTACCTGATTTCTCGAAATGCTTCCGTCCACTGGATCACTGTATTCAAAGTTATCGACCTTCTCCACAGTGTAAACTTTGTCACCCACTGGGAACTGCTTCCCCACGAAGGAGCGATCAGATATCAGGGCCTCCAGGTCTTTCATCATTTTGTTGGCGCCCTCGGCCTCCACCTCCTCGTAATCGTACCTGGAAGAAGAAGTCACAAAGCTGAGACCCGCGGGCTGCCTCCAGATCCCACCAACGTACATCGGCACTTTCTTCATCATGTGTTTGGCCCTCTCCCAAACCACCTAACTTCAGAAGAAGCTGGCAAAAAGATGAGCCTGTCAGTCCCCGGGGATGGAGCAGGCCAGGGATGAAAGGAAGGGATCGGAGGATTTCAGGGAAGGGTTAGGAGCTTTTCCACAGAAGAAAGCTCGAAGGAGCTTCAAAGGCTTTTGAGAGATACTATCTAACGTGTAACCATCACATCCTGAGGAGGTAGAATTAAAAGCCCTGTTATCTCTCGGGAACTCTGCACAAAGGAGCACGTGACTCAGGCAGCTTCTCTTCCAGACGCTTGGCGCTTCTGTGGGATCAGTGCTGGCAGTGCTCCCAGGCTGGGACCGGCCCGAGGCTGCTGAGATTTTGGCGAAGGAGAGTTCCAGTCTCCACAGGAGCTTCCTAAAGTAGGGCCAAGTTTTCACTGACCAGATGAAGGAGCCAAACCCCAACTCTTTCCATCTGAAACGCCTCCGTCCTTTCAGGGAGAGATGATTTTAATCCATACTGCTTTGGGTTCACCCTGACCGAGGTGACCTGGAGACGATGCAAAAGGACCAAGAAATCCCTGGCTGGGTGGCTCAGTTGGTTAGATCGTTGCCCCATGCACCAAAAGGTTGAGGGTTCGATTCCCGGTCAGGGCACATACCGAGGTTGTGGGTTCCATCCCCAGTCTGGGCGCATATGGGAAGGCAGCCAATTGATGTTTCTCTCTCATATCTACTCTCTCTCTCTCTCTCTCTCTCTCTCTCTCTCTCTCATCAATAGGCATGTCCTTGGGTGAGGATTAAGAAATAAATTTTTAAAATTAAATTAAAATTTTTTAAAAAGAACCAAGAAAAAGAAGTGCATCAGGAATGAAATCCTATGACTACTGTTTTTCCTCCGAGAACTATTCTGACTTCTTTCTCAGGAGGATGCTTTTCTTGATCTAGTGGCACACACCCTCTTGAGAGAGTTATTTTGCAGAGGCTCACGATAGCAGAGTCTATATTTATTTGCAATAGTGAAACAAATATGATATGCGCAAGGTGACACCTCTGAGACATGAGAAATACCAGGGAATGGAGGACAACCTATTCTGGCTCCAGGATTCTATGAATCAAGGACAGCAGTCGCCTTCATCTTGGAGTCAGCTCTTTCCCCCAGTTAAAATGATAAACAGCCAGAAATTACAACCAGGTGTTTGTGCTTTACATCTGTGACCTTTGGGTGTTCAGGGGAAATGTTCTATAAATCCTAGGCACAGAGTGGTATAATGGAAAGAATGTGGGCTTTGGAATCAGACAGAACAAACTATGAATCCAGCCTCTGTTGGTTACTAACTGTGGGGCTATGGGCAAGTTGCTTCATCTCTCAGAATCTCAGCTGCCTTATTAATAACTGTTCTGTGGCTGACATGAAGCAATGTGTGCAAACGTGCCTAGCACTTTTGTTCTACAAAAGTGGACTACAACGGCCCTAACTGGTTTGGCTCAACGAATAGAGCATCAGCCTGAGGATCAAAGGGTCCCGGGTTCAATTCCCGTCAAAGGCATGTACCTTGTTTACAGGCTCCTCACTGGCCCAGGCCCTGGTCAGGGCTACTGCAGGAGGCAACCAATCAATGTGTTTCTCTCACATCGATATTTCTCTCTGTCTTTCCCTCTATCTTCCACTCTCCCTAAAAATCTATGGGAACATATCCTCGGGTGAGGATTAACAACAACAAAAAAAGTGGACTACAACAGAGTCTTAACTAACAATCAGTGCAGGTTCTAAGAACTTTATTTGCAACATTTATTGCAATACTTGGTTAGCAGTTATTTGACATTAACAAAAATATGTTAAAATAGTTTTTAGATGGAGACTTTAACTCAGTCAAGAGGGACCCTTTCTCTAAACAAGCCTTCCTAACATTATTCCACCTTGGCTACTGTTTGCTTGTTAACTCATTCATTTGTCTATTCAAAGCATACTTACAAGTGTCAACTATGAGCTAGGTGTTTGATGATACCATGGAGCATGACAACAGACGGGGTCCTGCTTTTGTGATACTCTATGCTCTAGAGAGTTCATGACGACTGTTCCGAATTACCAGGTTTTTCTGGTCCTTAGAGAATGGAGATCCTTGCCTTCCCAGGCTACCGTGTGGCAGTCATTACTTATACCTCCCACAAAAGAGTAACTTGGAGGAAGAAGAGAACATTGAACTTGTCCAAAGTTGATGAAAGAATTCTGATGAAGGAGGCCAAGTTGCTAAAGGTTGAATTCTTTTTTTATTATCCAGAGATCACAGACTCTCATATCTGTGATATATTTTTTCAATTCTCTAATTTAACTCGCCTATTTTATAGAAAAGGCAAACAGCTCCAGAGAAATTACAACTGTTTTTCACAGATTAATAATTTACCTAATATCGTTTTTTCCTCATATTTCCTTTCCTTAGAGGTCCAGGAGAAATTTTGTTAAATCTTCACACATATTGGGGAAAGGAAAATTGAAACTAATGAAAAGCACTACTGTAATAATAATAAGTGAATGTTTTTAAAAATAGAAGTATGCTCGTTACAGAAGAATTGCTAAGTATTTTAAATATTTTGTTCACTGTTGAATCCCTAGTGGCCTGGTGAAAAGTAGGTACACAATCAATATTTGTTGAATCAATGAATGAAGTATTGACAAGTACACAGCCTTTGGCGACCTATTTTAATGAGTCAGAAAAGTTAATTTGGACTAAGCATAGTCATTTCCATAATTTCAGAAGAAAGTTTCCGTACTTTCAGTGCCCCAGAGTTTATAAAACACTTTCAGATTCATATTTCATCTAATTCACTCAATAGCTGGACTGTTATTTCCATTCCCACGAATGAGAAAACTGAGAACAGAGAGAGGTTAAATGACTTCCCAATCTATTAAGGGGCAGAAATAAAATGTGAATCCATTTTTCTGAATCTAAATCCAACACTGTTATCATGTCCACTTGAGAGGTACATTTAAAAGGCTTTAAAAACATTTATTCTTTTGAATAATGTTAACTAAATCTTGTAAGCCTCGTTCTTTATGGATAACATAAAGGCTGACTTCATCTTGACCTGACTGAATTATTTTTAAAATCCCCAGTTGGTAGAGGCTGGATGAACTAGAGTTTTATTATCGGTTAAGACAGGAAAGAATCTGTATGCAGGAGAATTCTCTCTGCCCACTTCCCCACCCTACCTCACCCCCCAGCCAGGCTGTGGCTTACCTGGTGAAGAAATTCCGGCCATACTTCTGCCAGTGATCTTTGAGAATGTCCTCCACACTCTGTTTGCGGGTGGCTAGAATGGAGAGCCAGGCAAGGACAGCCCAGAGACCATCTTTCTCACGAATGTGGTCAGAACCTGGTCGGGGGAGAGCAAACAGCTGTGAGAAACATGATTTCTCCAAAATACTTGGCAATAAACTCAACAGTAAACATGTAGATCCAGCCAAAGAGAAATTAAAACTTCACTGAAAAACTTGGGTACACGGAAGGAATCACATACTAAATAAAGCAACATAATATTGAAAAGAAGTTGATGCCTCCCAAAGTAATTTTAAAAATTTTAGGCAAATGTCAATAAAAAGGTCAGTGGAATAATCTGGTGAAATTTGATATAGTAATGATAAAGTGTTAATGTGAGTGGTGAAAAAAATAAATCTTAAATAAAAAAACAGCAGAGAATAAAACCATTAAAATTTTTCCATAATTAAAATAATTTGATAGTTTAATGGAACAAAATGAAGCACCTAGGAAGAGGTCTAAATCTGTATGAGATTTGAATATATCAGAAAGGTACCTCTTCAGGGCTGTAGGAGAAAAATGGATTATTTTTTAAGTAGTATTTGGTTAAGTAGCTAGATAGTTAAAAAAAAAAAATCAAGTTTTTCCCCCAATAAAACACCATACTAAAGAAAAAAAAAAGATAGATAGATAGATAGATAGATGGCATATTCAAATGTAAAAATTAGAAACCTTTAAATACTATAAAAATATATAAATGCTTTTTTAAAAATCTTGGTGGTAATAAATACATGTAAATTCAGAATTCATAAAGAAAAAAATCAATGTATTAGTCTACATAAAGATTAGCATTTCTATTAGTAAAGCTACTATAGATAAAACTAAAAGGTCATTTGAAAACTTAAAAAAACACATTTGCAGCCCAGCCAGCGAGGCTCAGTGGTTGAGCATCGATCTATAAACCAAGAGGTCACGGTTCGATTCCTGGTCAGGGCACATGCCCGGGTTGCAGGCTCGATCCCCAGTAGGGGGCATGCAGGAGGCAGCCAATCAATGATTCTCTCTCATCATTGCTATTTCTATGAAATCAATAGAAATATTTTTCCCTTCCTCTCTGAAATCAATAAAAATATTTTTAAAAAACACACACATTTGCAATATAAAGTAGATGTTTAATATGCTCAGAATAGGAAAATTCTTATATTTAACAAGAAAAAAGCAAAACCTCAATAGAAAAATAGGCCAAGGATATAAATACATAACTCACTAAAGAAAAAATACAGGTTCCCAATTAATAAAATAAAAAGCTAGCACTGTTTTTGAGAAAATAAAGTTAAAACCACAATAAGAAACTGCCACTTGCTTGACAAATGGCCACAGATTTCAAAATGAGAACACCACGTATTGGGAGAGGGGTGAGGGAAATAGAATTCCAACATGGTGTTTCTGGGAGGGGTAAAGTCCTTCTGGAGAGCAATTTGGCAAAAAGTATCAAAGCCTTAAAAATGGACCTACTTGTGGATCCAGCTACTCCAATATTAAGACATCTTTCTTTAATCAATAAGAATTTGGTTAAATAAGCTATGGTACATCTGTCTCTGGCTAAAATCTTTACCCAAAATAACAAATTGAATACTTTGGATGTGTTTATATGCATGGAAATCCTTTACCAAGAGCCCCATGTGGAACAGAACTCTCATTTTTTTGCCATAAACGTCCTTATTCTTAAAAAACAAAACAAAAAACAATGTTGAGCTCTACTTTCTGATTTTGAATAGGTCTCCATAAGATCCCTCTCTAATGCTGCTTTGCATATTATCATGCCTTGAGTTATTTATGGGCTTGTCTGCCTTTCTCGACTCTCCACTGGGTCTTATTCCTCTTAGAATTGTCAGAGTATCTAGCACAGTGCTAGCTAGGTAGTAGGCATGTGGTAGGTTTGTTTCCTTCCTTCTTCATCCTTTTAGACCCAGCTCAAAGTAACCTCTCATCTCTGAGACGAGCTCCCAGCTTCCATAGGCAGTTATGAGCTACTTTCTCTCTCTTCTCTGATAGTGACCTACTCAAAACATCTGGTGCAGCCCCATCTTCCTTGAGCCTCAATCATCTATTTATGGATCTTTCAGCCCACCAGCCATGTACTTCTTGGAGGCATCTCTTATTTATCCTTGTAACTCAGTCTGCTAATTAACATAGCACATGACACATTGTATAAATAGCTAATTGTGAAGAAGTGCATGACTAAATTAATCAATTAATTAATCTACTCCAACATTTTCTCTCTCTTTCAGCTCATAAAAACACACAACTTTTTCTTTCAAAAGATTTTCTCTTTAATAAGTTACTGCTTTTAAAAATAACAGTTCTTAAAACCTGGATGCTGGCAAATCTAGAGATATTAGGTAAGACTTTTAGTGCATTGTATAACATATTTTGGAAATGTTTACCTAATTTTATTATCTATGGACTTTTATTTGCCTTTACTGCTATTTCAAGGAATAAAAAGTTAGCTCTCTGACTCTTAGAGCTTTTGCAAATAATGATATCCTATATAATAAAAGCCTAATATGCTAAGTGTCCAGTCGACTGGTCTGCCATTCAACCAATCAAAGCGTAATATGCTAATGATATACTAAGGCCACTCAACTGCTCACTATGACGTGCACTGACCACCAGGGGGCAGATGCTCCAACCGGTAGGTTAGCTTGCTGCTGGGGTCCGGCTGATCAGGACTGGGCAAGACAGGCTGGTCATGCCCTGGAGCCCTCCTGCAGTCCCTCCCCACTGGCCAACCTCCCGCATCTCTCCCTGGCCCCGATTGTGCACCAGTGAGGTCCCTTGGCCTGGCCTGCATCCTCTCACAATACAGGACCCCTCGGGGGATGTCGGAGAGCTGGTTTCGGCCCGATCCCGCAGGCCAGGCTGAGGGACCCCAACTGGTGCATGAATTTGTGCACCAGGCCTCTAGTGTTTTATAATAGTTCATGCTGGGAAGCGAGATCCTGGGACCTTCCCCATTATACATACCAAGAATTCATCACAGAAGCATATAGGTTGGAATTACTTGTCTGTGCACTCTTCAGATTTCTTTTCTGCCTTCCTTCTTTTTTTTTTTCCTTTCTTTTATTTTGTTTGTTTTGTTTTAGGCTAAACTGAAAGTATAGGAGGCAATGTTCCTTTGTGCTTTTCCTGCTCTAAATAAAGAGTTTACATTTCTTTTATGTGAAAATGATAAGAAAATCTAAAAATCTTGCCCAACTCTGATCAAGTTACTTGAAGATAATTAAATCACACACCTAATGTTATACACAAAATATCTGCCTTGGATAACATAAACAAATATTCTATCTTATTTGTGTGATCCCCAGTCTCTTTGGAAATTCTGATTAATCACACTGATCACTTTGGATCTATCAAAACTCTAATACTCAGGAAGTCTGGGTAAATTTCATTTTCCTGAGGTTCTCATGAATGATGACAAGTTACTACTGAAAAAAAAGGTGTTCTTAAAGCTATTGTTTTTACAATTGTGGCAGTTGTGGTCCAATGGAAATGCTTTATACGTAAGAATCAGAAAACCTAAATTTGAGACTGTTATCTAGAGGCTGTTGACATTTGGACAAGTCACTTAACTTTTCTGAACCTTGGTTTCTTCAACTATAAAATGGGGATAAAGCCCCCTTTCTCACACAATTTTAAGGCATTACTGTGATAGAGTGGAAATATTTTATAAACGGCTAAGTACTTCATAAATATAGGATACCATTATGAATAAGGGTACCAATATAAAAGCTTAGGGGAAATTATAGTTTTCCACTACCCTATTAAGTTTTCAAAAATGATGTTTTTAAATGTACATTTGGGGAAGAAAATGAAAGAATACAATTCAATATGCTCTTTTCTCTGGCAGTGGGATTGCAATGTTTTTCTCTTCTTCCTTATCTAACTTTCCTTTATAAATGTGAATTACTGATATGATTTTTTTAAATTTAAAATAAACTAAGCAAAGCTGCGCTCACTTCGCTGTGAGAAGGAGGAGAGCACTGTCAGCAAGCACCCCTGACCCCGCTGACACAAAGTGGCCGCGGGTGTCACATAGGTTTCTTCCTACGTGGTCCAGCTCAGGGACCGACTGAGCACATGGGAATTCTGCTCTTTCAGCATCTTCAACCACCTGTCACTTGACTTCAGCCTAATCAGCACCTTGTGATAAGTATAAACTCGGCTCAGTCAGGGCACAGTCTGAGTCCCAGCCAAGAAAAATGTCAACCCTTGCAGAGGGAGCCAAAAGCTAACGGTTTAGGGATTAGGTTCCATTGACTAGTCTAGGCATCTCAGGAGGGACCTGGCTCTTGTCCCCTCCCAGTGACAGGCCTGCGGATGGGGACATGGCAGCTAAAACAGAGCCACACGGAGTTCTGTGAAAGCTCTAGGGTCTGTCTTTCCCTCTGTCTCTCTCTTTCTCTGCCCATTTCTAGCTCTCCTGCAGTCTCCTAAATATGCTGTTCTTTCTGCCTGGAAATTGCTACTCCACATGTACCTGGCTAGCAACTTCTCCAACTACTTTAAACTTTACTCGATGCAGCATGCCTTCCTTCTCGCCTTTGTGCTTACCAGTATTCCATCCCAGCCTGTCTCTGCCTACCCCACCCTAGACCATGAGTGGCCCCCGGCTGGTGCCTGGCATACAGTCAGCTCTCAATAAGGTTTTCCCCAAACAATGGTCAGACCCCAGTTGACTGACTGGGAGGTTCAGGAGTCCTGTCCTCTTTGACTTTCATTGCACAGAGGACTTCACTCTAAAAGGCCAGGTAAGCTCCTCAGAAAGCCTTTCCAGATCACACCAGCCCCAGAAGGGCTCCGCCCAGTCACCCCCAAACTTTCCACTTAGTAATTAATCCCGCACTGGCTGGGGACTGCCCCCTGGAACTTCGTTTCCTATGGAGAAACACAGTAGGCATCTGACGAGCAGGAACTGTGTCTTAACCCAAACTCCATTTTACACTCGAGAAATAGGAATCAGTGCCTTCATGCTCCAAGTACATGAGAAAATATCAAGGTGAGTAAGACGTGCTCCCTGTCCTCATAGATGAGCACAGACATACAGGTGAGGGAGACAGACATGCAGGTAACAACTGAACTGAGTTTCTTATAATTAGGGTATTAGCCTCATTCTATTGGGGTATTCTCTCTGGGAACTTCAGAGATGGGATGTGCCAACATTCCTGTGGGGTTTTTACCTACAGGGAAATGTGCTCAAGGGATTGCAGATTAGAACAGGCAGAGAACTAGGTAGAAAATCTGATCGTCTACACAACAGAAACAAGTTAGGTGCCTGAGAATAAAGTTCCCATGTGCCCTGTATTTGCCTTCTACCATTTTGCACACCTCTAATTACCTGGCCAGGATCTGACTTCCTTCCCCAAATGTGGACTCCACAGAGCCCTCCACCAGGACCACACTGTGTCCCCAGAGCATCCCCCAGCATCTGGGGGTACAGTTGAAACTCCATAAATATTTGAGGAATGAATTGATGAAAAGAAGTACAAATATGAAGGTCTTTTCATGGAGGTAAAATTAAAATAAATTTGCAAAGCACGAATGGTGCACTTCTTCAAGTTATCACTCCTATCTGATGTATCGGCACTAGGACCTTTTAAAGATGGTTTGGGGGGAAATGATGCTAACCTCTACACCTGGCCTGATCATAATTTACCAGCATAGTTCCATGGGACATCAAGTTGATATTCAACCTGGCTCCCTATCCCTCTTTCCCAAGGCCCCATTTTCCTGAGGAAGAGTTTCAAAAGCAGTGACTTTCTATTCTATTCAGTGGCTTCACTTTAGATCACCTTCCCAATAAGTTCAAGGTGGAACAGAACTGACCACCTTGCCCTTTGCCATTGCGTATAAACATGTACATCATCATCCACAGTTAGGGGGGGAAAATAACTTTGCACCCTGAGATCAACCAAAATAACAGGTTCACGCTGTCTAGTTCTAGTGCCCATGTCTGAGTCCGTACCAAAAACACACCTTTATCCCTAGTGTCTGTAATGCTGATGTCAGAGGGAGTGTCCCAGCCTCTTTGGCTATGATAATCCAGTGAGATAGTTGCTGTACCTCCAACATAAACAGACTAATGTATAGTTGGTAACATTAGTAATATCAGGGCTTGGGCTTTTAAATGCTAGTGGTTTGTTTTATTTGGTGAGCCAGTTCTTCTGAAGTCTGACTCCTTTCTACCCTTTTTCTTCTATAAAAGCTCATCTCTTCTCACAAAGACCTTGGGTCCCAACTCTGGACTATGGAATGTGGGGTGGGGAGTCCCCACAAGAGCTGCAGACTGCTGCAAGGGTGAGGTGGGGATTCTCCACTGAGGCGGGTGTTTAAGCAGAAGAGCACTGACTGGCCACTTATGATTCCAGCAACCATAAAACATTGCATCGGGTGACTTTTAAAGTCCTTTCCTTTCCAACACCAGGATTCTGTTTGTAAAAGAGGGTGCCACATGAATAGTGCATTTTTTCATTCATTCAACGAATGTTTGCTGAGCAGCTATTATGTGCTGGGCTTTATAGGAGGCTCTGGGGATATAGTGGAGAATAAGACATATGTGGCTCCTGTTCTCGTGGAAATTATAGTCTAGTGGAGCTAGAAGACATTAATCAAGTCATCATAAATAAATGTAAAAATTACAGCTGCAATACGTGCAACAAAGGAGAAGTGTGTGGTGCCAGGGGGATGTGACCCACTCTGGAAGGTTAGGGAGGCTCTCTGAGAAACTGCCTCTGATCTGGCCTGGGAAAATGCAGAAATCAATGACCCTATACTCAATTAAGCTACAGAATTCAATATTTCAAAGCTTTTAGAATCACTAATATCAACCCTGAGAAACTCTGTAAAGGAATTGTTAGAAACATTTGCCATCGAGGGATGTGGTAGGTAGAAATTAACTCCTCTATAAGTTAGAAGAGCAGAAGTTAAGTAAGTTCAGCTACACTCATTCACAGCAGTGGAGACCCATGGCTATCCAGTCTGATTTCTAAAATGTTTATCTCAGAAATATTACAAAACAATTTTCTTTTTTTCAAAGAGAAAGAGAGAAAGAGCTTGCGAATTCTTCTCATGATGCATTCTGTTTGACTAAAAAAGGTATCTAAGGGAAGACAGAACCATGGTTGGCACTTAGTATTTGTTGAGTGGGTTGACAAATAAATAAACAAGAACAAACGTTAACAGGAAATTTAAAGTCAAATATTTGGACCCAGCCAGTGTGGCTCCATGGTTGAACGTTGACCTATGAACCAGGAGGTCATGGTTCCATTCCTGGTCAGGGCACATGCCCGAATTGGGGGCTTGATCCCAAGTAGGGGGCGTGCAGGAGGCAGCCAATCAATGATTCTCTCTCATCCTTGATGTTTCTCTCTCTCCCTCTCGCTTCCTCTCTGAAATCGATAAAAAAATATATATATTTTTTTTAAAGTCAAATACTTGGGTTTAAAGAAATCAATTCCACAAAAGTCACATAGGAAACTTTTCTTGCCAAATGCTCTTGAGTAAAAACTCAAAGGGGTTTAATTATCTATAACATTATATGGGCCAAACAGTATTATAAAATGTCCTAAAAGCTAACATAAGTGAAGGTCATATCAAGCACAGTTCAGAGCCCAGTTCCCTGGAAATAATCATCCCACTCTATTCCTTACCTGCCAGTCAACCCTGGAAGCCCAGTGGGCACCTGATTTCCTAAGAGGAGCACTGATGAACTTGGGAGCACCCAGAAGCTGGTGCTGGGTAGATAAGTAATGTGACATGAGGGTGGCCTGGAGAAGAGAGAACCTGAGGACTGCCTTCCAGTCCTTGCAGGCCTGGCACATGAGAGCGGAGCAGCTTGTGTTGTGCCGTCTTCAAGCCTATCCCCGGCCACTCAATACAGGGGATGCCTAGTGGGCTCCAGGGCTCTGACTCACCTGGACCAGTGATGCCCACAGGGGCCTGTGGAGCAAGAAGTTACTGGATATATCACCAAATAAAAGAGGCAGGCACTTAACTCAGTTTAATTAAAACCATACAGTCAGGATTTCTTACAGTGGAATGTTTTGGAATCTTCCTATGCTAATAATGTGAATCGCCAAGACAGAGAGGTGTATCCAATTTTCCCAATCATCACTGAACTCAGAACCCTCTCATGGGAAACCTCGTTCTAGACTTCCAAACACCCTGGGAAGCCTTGTTCTAGACTTTTCTCTTTCATTTGAAACAGGTACATGGAGTTAGAACACCAAAGATTTAGACATGGTGTTTGCCTCCAAAGACAGCTTCATCCATAAAGACGAGAGACTGGTACCAAGCTTGCTCTGGGTAACACTAGGGGGGATTTCATGGGAGGAGACCACCTCACAGGTTCATTGGTTATTCATCTAGTGTCCTGTGGAGTAATGTAGCATCACCCATACTTTATGAGGTAGGAAAGGTCTAAGCCAGTGGTTCTCAACCTGTGGGTCGTGCCCCCTTTGGGGGTCAAATGACCCTTTCACAGGGGTCGCCTAAGACCATCCTGCATATCAGATATTTACATTACGATTCATAACAGTAGCAACATTACAGTTATGAAGTAGCAACGACAATAATTTTATGGTTGGGTCACAACATGAGGAACTGTATTTAAAGGGCCAGAAGGTTGAGAACCACTGGAGCGGTACCCTAAGTGGACCTAGAACCTTGGGAAATCATCCAGCCTTCTTTGTGGACACTGTTCAATGCTACAACTCATCTTTCTTAAAACCCTACAATTCTATCAAGCCAATTCAATACCAAGAAGTATTGCCACTCCCCCAAGGATATTAAATTGCTTATAATTTTATAAATAGGTGTCTCAAAATTTCCACCCTACCCCAGGACTTGTGGGATAATAAATGAAATCAGCATTCTATTCTGTTTAACCTCAAATGAACTGCAACTCAATGGCAAGACTCACAGAACACTAGATTTTGGTCTTCTTTTCTTTGCTAAAGAATGGAAGTAGAATACTGAAGGACAAAGAACATTGGTCCTTTTACTTCAAAATATGGGGTAGAGGGAACAGGAGGAGAAGAAATATGGCCACTGAAGTACCTTGCAACCTAGCTGGAGACTAACACGTAGGAAAGGGCCACACACCAAAATGGCTGCTTGGAAAGGAAGAGAGATCGATGTAGGCAGGATGGGTAGTGGGGAAGGTCACAGAGGTGGGACTTCAGGTAAACATCGGATAGACAAAGAAGAGGAGGGAGAGCACAGAAAGTGGGGTGTAAGGATGTTTGGACATCCCCCAAGCATACCACATCCCACTCTTTCATTATACCACAATTTACACATACATCCTCATGGTTAAGAAAGTAGTTTTAATTTCTTGATCACCTAGCAACTTAGTTCCACCCTAATGGTCTCCCTTCATTTAACCTCAATAAATCACAACTCGTTGCTATAGAAAACCTGGGCCTATTAAAGAGAATGATTTAATGCTGTGCTGAAACCTTCCCTTAAATAAAAATGAAAAACTGACTCGCTCTACCATATTTCTTCCTAGAAATGAAAACATTTATAAAGGTTTCCTTGACCACCGAGGGAAGAAAAATATGTTTATCACTCTGTTAAGTCCCCACAGACTCAATGACCAGGCTGCCGAGGAGGGCCCCAAGCTTCCTGTCTCGGTAGATGTGATCCTCCTGAAAGTAAAATTAGCCCTCCTTGGCTGAACGTGCTTCCCGCTTTTCAAACGTGTACACTTCATCAGGGTTGTTATAAATAAGTTGCATCCTGATTTAGGACACATCAGCTACCGTTGCTATTTCAGTGCGGCCCGAGCAGCCTAAGCTTTCACCGCAGGTAGTGTTTACAGGAAAAGAAAGGGGTAGCGCAGGGCTGCGCACTTACCGGTCCCGAAGCTCTCTTCCCCACAAAGGGACAGTTTGCCTGCATCCATCAAATTCCCAAAAAACTTCCAACCAGTGGGGGTCTCATACAAAGCGATCTTTGTAGCATTAGCCACCCTTCAAAGGCAAGAAATCAAAGTTACATCACAGCAGGACTGTTAGCATAGCCATGTGAGGGATGGAAAATAGCAACCATTATTGTAATCAAGGGTCCCATTTAGCGCTGCTCAGAGGTAGACACAATTCTAGGATTGGTGGAAAAGCGTCAGAGAAAACTTGTGCACAATGGGCTATTCTATGTGGACTCAGAGGAGTGGGTAGAAGAGGAAGGAGAAAGAAATAGCTCAGCTCACTGACTTTAATATCTTAGAAGAAGCAACAGGAGCAAAATGTGCAAGGCTGTTTGGGGGGCTATTTAAACGTACATGTTTTGGAGATAGTCAACATCTATGACTATTCTATAAAGAACAAAAGAATGATGTTTTGATGTACTTATAATTACAAAAATAATAGAATATGGGGTCTAGGAGGTCAGTATTTTACAGAGAAGGAAAGGGGGCACAGAATGTTGTGTGATCAGCCCAAGGTCACACAGCCAGGATGCCCAGTGCCTGCTGTTCAGCTGCCAGTCGAATGTTCCTTTCATTTCACCAGCAGGCCCCACAAGGACAGTGCCCAGCAGGCTCTCCCATTGCATCAGCTTCATCCACACTGACCCATGGTCCCCTGTCCCCTCCAACACATCTTTTACTTCTCCCTATATTTCTTTAGATTATTTAAAACTTTAAGTGACTTCTTTTTAGATGCCTTTCCCTTTGAACAGGAAGTTACCACATTTCATTCACTGTTTTGGTGAGGTTTGCTTTCCAGAACGCCTGCCTGATGCTAACAAAACAGTGTCGAGCTTCAATTCTAACGTTTGAGGAAAATCAAATCTAAGATTTCGAAAACTGTGAAATACAATGAATTTTTTTCTGGGTAATGAGGTATCTCCATTGTGGTTCTATATATGGATTATCAGTTTTTCCAGAAGTTGGAATTAAACTGTTCTTGGATGATGCAGAAAGTATTTCAGGACCTGATAGGTCTAATGTACAATGTGGCCACACACCAGCTCACGACTTTAGGTGGGGGATGTAGAGGCAGAAGGCCTGGGTTCTGATCCAAGCTCTTATTTAGCTGTGGGGCCCTAGACAAGACAGCTAACCTCTTTTTTGGTTTCATCTTCTTAAAAACAAGGACTGCTATGGCTTAGCCTGTTTGGCTCAGTGGATAGAGTGTTGGCCCTGAGGACTGCAGGGTCCCGGGTTCGATTAGGATCAAGGACATGTACTTAGGTTGCAGGCTCAATCCCTGGCTCTGGTTGGGGCTTGTGCAGGAGGCAACCAATCGATGTGTCTCTCTCACATAGATGTTTCTCTCTCTGTGTCTCTCCCACTCCCTTCCACTCTCTCTAAAAATCAATGGAAAAATATCCTTGGGTGAGGATTAACAAGAAAAAATAAAGATTGCTGTGAGGAGATGGTGAATGTCAAAAAGCACTGTGTAAAACACAAACCACTATATGAATATTAATCATTATTCTCCTGTTAGCTGACGTCAGCACTATTTTGTAACACACATGCACACAAAACCCACAATAGAAAGCTGCTACGTGGCCCAGTGGTTAGGAGCAAAGATTCTGGGTTTAAGTCCTGACTCAGCCGTTTACTAGCTGGGAGACCTTGGGCATGCTACTTAACTTCTTTGTCCCTCTTGTTTTCCCACTTGTAAAGTGGGGTTTATATAGCATTTACCCCATGGGGTTGGTCTGAGAATTAATGACTTACAGCATATCAAGTACTCAGTGTCTAGCACAAGGTAATGCTCAATAAATATTAGTTATTATTATAAGAGCCTAGATATGTGCGTTCTGCTTTCCTACCTACCTGCTATGGCCTTTTATTCATTCAGTTGTTCTTTATTCACTCATTCAGCATGTACTAGGCACCTGACGTTCTAATTAACATTCTCCCTGGTTGGCCCTCATTTGTTATTTATTACTGATATTTTTCAATAATTTTAGATGTGATCTTATAATCCACCTTAAAGCCTTTATAAATAAGGTTATATATAATAAATAAATAAGCAAATCACAGATATCCACTGTTTATTGTCACTGGGTCCTTTCTCATAAAAACTGAATGTAATTTTTTTAACTATTTGAGCTTTCAGTTTATTTCGATTTTTGATAAGTGTACACTTGCTGTGTATGTGCATGGGTATCCGATGAGGGAGGGATGAGGAATGCTTCTTTGAAACACTGATCTTACTTCAAACTGCTCTTTCCCCACTCTGCACACTGCTAAAGGAAATGGCTCTTCAGAATAATGTCTTGACTACAGTGGGAGGGCCATCCATTCATTTATTCATTAACATTCAATCATTCATTTTCTAAACTGTGTGTGTACGTGTGTGTGTATCCCCTATTATCTACGTGCTAGGCACACTATGGTCAGGTGGAGTTTAAGATGGTGAAGTAGTCAGTCTTTTCTCTGTAGAAGTTTATAGTCCAGGAGGGCCGATAGTCAAGTACACAGGCTACCAGAACACAGCGTGGTACATGCGGGGGTGGAAGAAGTGCAGGGTGCTAAGGGATCACAGAGACGGGACATCTCACCCAGAAAAAACTTCACCCATTCCTTCCTAAAATAAGCACTTATTTAGCATCAGATACCCTGGCTGGAAGGGGAGGAAGAGTGTTCCAAGCACAGAAAAGGGCCTGCGGAGGGCCAGGGGAACGGAGAGACCTACCTGTCCAGGGCCCCGCTGGTGGGCATGCTGCGTGCTAAGCCGCGGACCCCGGTTTGCTGGAAGTATGGAATGCTGAAGATGTTGGCAGCAATGACGGCCAAGGAGTCTGAAGGGTTCACAAAGAAGCCGTGCTTGCCCAGAATCATGTTTCGATCCTTTGAGAGAGAGGGAGTTTCAAAGGAAGAGCTTTTAGTCAAACTGTGGAAGAAACCAAACTATCCTACATGGTGGTGGTGGGGTGGAATGAAACTTTAAATTATAAAACTTAAAACTAATACATTTATTCAGTGTGGGTTCTAAATACTGGATTTGTTTCGAATGGATCTGTACAGTGCCACTGAGCCAAAGAGCTAAAACTGTTTTCAATGAAAGCGCAAGCCAACTCCTTCTCAACCGAATACCCTGTTCTCCCTCCAGACGCCAGCTGACTTTAACCTCCCAGGCCTTTTCCAAACCCTGGAACCAATCACCTCTCTCCCAGAGGACAGGAGAGACAGAAACAAGAATGGAAATGCTGGCTATTTTTACAGTTTGGTAGGTCTGTCTGGCATCCTTCGAGGAACAAAGCAGATTTCTTCAAGGAAGGGCTTCTAAATCATGGCCCGTCTATTTGGTGCAGAACCAACAAGGTATGCTGCCACTATCCCTGCTTCCTCAGTGCCTGATATGCGGGAAGTTCTAGAACACCGAAGAAAAACTCCCATCATGCACTGCCTCAGAAAGATGCATTGCAAAATAGTGTCTGCTCCGGACCCCTTCAACGTCCCCAAATTTTGATATGGGAAAATTTATATTTCAGGAAAATAATAAATCTAGCTAATGTCAAGGAACAACAAACAACAATAAAGAATATACATTATTTTCAATGAAGTAGACATGTGTAGTGCCTATTATCTCTGAGGTATCAAGAATACAAACCTAAAACACATTTCTTCCTTGTCTGGTATATGTTCACCAATGTAAATAAAAGAGTGGGTATTAAAAATCTTAATTATAGAGAGAGAATAAAAGGTTAATGCTCTCATTATAGTTCCATCATTCAACTATTGTAAATGAATGAATGAGGATATTATATTTCCAAAATCCTTTCCAGAGATTGAATAAGTAGCTAGCTGCTAGTTGAGAATAGAAACCTATCTTAGGATAGGTATCTAGAACCCAGCCAGCTCATGAATCAGTAGTCATTAGATCATAACAAGGCCCTAAATATCCTGCCACTCTTAGCAAACATGAATGTCTGAAATTAAAAATATGGGTTGCCCGGCCTGTGTGGCTCAGTGGTTGAGGGCTGACTGGTGAACAAGGAAATCACGGTTTGATTCCCAGTCAGAGAACATGCCCGGGTTGCAGACTCCATCTCCAGGAGGGGGTGTGCAGGAGGCAGTCGATCAATGATTCTCTTTCATCATTGATGTTTCTATTGCTCTCTCCTTCTCCCTTGCTCTCTCTGAGATCCATAAAAATATATTTAAAAAAAGAAAACATGGGTTAATTTCAAAGACTCTTATTTCTGTTTGAGAAGGTCTTTTAATTTTTTGGCCCTGACCCCAGGTGCAATGAAAGGTCTTGACTCTCACACAAGGCCCACAGGGTCTGGCAGGTGCAGCCCACTTTTCCTCCTCTGTAGGATCAGGCCTAGCCTGCGTCAGAGTTCAGTAAAGGCACTTATACCCACCCCATCTCCATCAAAGGCAGCCCCAAAGTCATGCTCTCCTGTCTTCATGGTCTCCACCAGGTCAGCTGCGTAGGTGAGGTTGGGGTCAGGGTGGTGGCCTCCGAAGTCCTCCAGAGGAATGCAGTTGACTGCCGAGTTTGCAGGGGCACCGAGTTCTTCGCAGAGGATCTTCTTTACATACGGTCCCACCACTGCGTCCAGCATGAAATGAAGACTCAGAAAATAACGCTTATGAAAGTCCGTGAGGGTTGGGGGATGAGGAGAAAATGGCATGCACAACAATGAGAATGTGCAAACTGTATGCAGGAGCTAGTGGAAACATAAGCCCGGCTGGAGTAGGAGGTTCTAAGAAAAGGAGCAATGAGAGATTAGGTCGGAAAGGGTGGGGACAGTTGATGAAGGAAAGAGTGGGGAGAAGGGAAGGAGCTGACCATCATGAAGGCCCTACGACACACCTGTGCCAGACGCTTCTCAACCATTTTCTCACTCAGTCCTTGAAAAGCCCCACAGGGTGGCACACTCAGTGTTTAAGAGCATGGACTCTGGGATCGGAGTGCCTAGGTTCAAATCCCAGCTCTGCCAGTCACCAGCTGTATAATTCTGGGAAAGTTATTTAGTCTCTTTGTGTCTTTGTCTCCTCTATCTGCATAATGAGGATAATTGTAGTAGCTATCTGGCAGGATTAAGAGAGTTAATAAATATGAAACACTGAAAACAGTACTGGCACATGGTATAATGTTTGCATTATGATTATCACCATCAATTTATAGAAAAGAAAACTGAGGTTCTGATATGAAGCTGTTTGCCCAAACTTACACAGTAGGAGTGGGAGCTGGGATTCAGAGCCCTAATCTTTCTACTCTATCAAGTTATCTGACAAACTGATCAAAAGAGTACAGATAAAAACAGTAACTACAACAATGAACATCAGGAAAAACTAGTCCCATACGTTATGGTGACATCCAGTATAACTACCAAGAACATTCATCTCTAAAATATTGAGAATGTGTTTTCCTCAAGGAAGGTACTGACACCAATATATGTTGCAGAGATCAGAACAGAATAGAATGTGTATCTCCCATTAGGAGCCACATGTTAAGGAAGCGATTGACACAACACAGAATGAGATCTAGGCAGCCAGGGCTGTAAAGGATATAGAAACAGAGGCAACAGAGCAGTGGTTCTCAACCTGTGGGTCGCGACCCCTTTGGCGGTCGAACGACCCTTTCACAGGGGTCGCCTAAGACCATCCTGCATATCAGATGTTGCTACTGTTAATAATCGTAATGTAAATATCTGATATGCAGGATGGTCTTAGGTGACCCCTGTGAAAGGGTCGTTTGACCGCCAAAGGGGTCTCGACCCACAGGTTGAGAACCACTGCATTAGAGGAACAACGAAAAGGCCTGAAGAAAGAAGTCTACTTCATGACCAGCTCCTCTCAGCAAATACTCCATTATAAGTCCCATTCCTGAGCCAACATAGGCTTTTCCTCACTCCTCTAATGTTGCATCTTAATTTGCTACAGCCACTGACTCACTGGGAATGACCATCACTTGATTTTCCAACACCCTCAATCTGTCTTACATAAAAGCTAAATCGATTGCCACTTCTTCCAAGAAACCTTGCTTAATACTGCCTTGTCAAACTATACCTTTTTCCACACCCCAAAGAGAATACTTGAAATTCTATCTAATCCTCATTTTGTTGGCCTTGGTGATGAAATTCTATTTGTGTTGGTTTTTTTAAAATATATATTTATATTGATTTCAAAGAGGAAGAGAGAGGGAAAGAGAGATAGAAACATCAATGACGAGAGAGAATGATTGATTGGCTGCCTCCTACTCGCTGGGGATCGAGCCTGCAACCTGGGCATGTATCCTTGAATGGAATCAAACCCAGGACCCTTCAGTCTGCAGGCAGGTGCTCTATCAACTGAGCCAAACCAGCTAGGGCCTGGTGATGTTAGTTTTTTACCCATCTCATCACTCCAGGCACTGCAAGCTCTTTGAGTCCAGGCCTACCACCAACCATACACATAGTAGGTACTCAATACATGTCTGTCGCATGGTTTGAAAAAACAGAATAGCTTTTGTCTGAATAAAGAAATATACCCAGCCCAGCTGGAGAGGCTCAGTTGGTTAAGCATTGTCCTGTGCACCAAAAAGTTGCTGCTTCAATTTCCGGTCAGGGCACATGCCTGGGTTACGGGTTTAATTCCCAGTCAGGGCCTGTGCTGAAGGCAACCGATCAGTGTTTCTCACATTGATGTTTCTCTCTCTCTCTCTCTCTCTCTCCCTCTCTCTCTCTCTCTATCTATCTCCCTTAATCTCTCTAAGCATGGCTTTGAGTGAGGTTTAACAAAAAAGTAGACCCATTCATGGGACTCCAAAGCCAAGTTAGGGCCCAAGGGAAGGAGTTCCAGGATGGGAGATCCAGCCCTCCAGGAGAAGGCTTTCTAACCCTGGTCATGCAGTGTTAACAGGAGGCTCTCAACAGCATCGTCAAAAGGGTTCAGCACAGCAGAAAGTTTTTCTCAGCCAGACAAGCAGCTGGATTCCAACACCAAGGAAAATCCTGCTGCTCAAAGCTTCCAAAATTCTAAATTATTACAAAACAAATGAACAACCTAAATGCTCAGGAATTCCTGTATTCCTACAAGCAAGAAAACCTCATGGTTCACTTCATAATGACAGCTGCTGTCTCTACTGACCTGGCTACACAACCCCCAGAGGAAGAAGAAGGAGACACACATCCTGTTGTTCCTGAATTTAATCCTGGGCTTGCTCTGCCCGCTTCTAAGAAAAGGAGCATGCGGGGGCAGGCGAGAGGGGCTGTGGGGCTCAGGAGCGTGTTCACCACATCTAGTAAATGACAAAACGCCCCCTTGGAAACAGAGGGGTATTTAGAATAGAATGTAAGGTATCTTCGGAGAGGCAGGAGGAGTCCACAAACACGGCTGCACATGACACAAACCTGATGCTTAATGTGAAGACACTGCCCTTCACACCACCTTGCTGTGGGGACTGTCTCTACTGCCTGCTGCATACAGTCAGAGTTTATTTCTGTGGGTATTGTTGAAATGGTTGCAAAATAATTGTTTAAAAAATATCAGAGATGGAAAAATACAAGAACCATATGATTTCAGGCCTATGTGGGCTATAAAACAAAAAGCAACGAACAAACGCACAGACACAGACCACGGTATGGTGGTTACCAGGGGGGAAAGGCATGGAGGGTGGATGAAGAGGGTACAGGGGGTTAAATATATGGTGACGGAAGGAGATGAGACTTTAGGTGGTGGAAACACAATGCAATGTACCGATGATGTATTAATAAGGTTGCATGCCAATGTGATTAACTAAAGTTACCCCCAATAAATTTAAATTAAAAATGAGGGGAGAAGAGCCAGAGAGAGTCTTAAGAAAAGGCTTGTTAAAGCATCATGATGCACAGAGCAGAGAGCAGCTTCGCATCTGAGAGAAGGGCGCGGCAGGGGAGCGGCCCGTACCTCCGTGCATGGCATCGATGCGGATCTTCAGTCGGTTTGGACCGGACAGCAGTTCTTTGAGTGCACTGAAATCAAAGATGTTTCTCAGCATCGCAGCATAAGCTTCCACCGAATCCACAATTTCCACTGTGGGAAGAGGCAATATTGAAAGATGGAGGAACTAAGCACATTTAGAAATGTTCTCCTCTGCAATGATGGCATTGCTGCAAACATGCCATGCCTGTGTTAAAATGCCAGTTACCAAGCAGCCCCCAGATGCCAGGATGGTACAGGATCCTGAATTCAACACTAACAATGTTCCTGGGAGGTAAATGATCTGATCCTATTTTGTAGACAAGGAAACGCAAGGTCTGTAAGGTTGAACCACTTGTCCATACAGCTGGGATGGGGCACACAGGGGATTTTTGACGGAGGTTTGCCTGGCTGTAAACTCAAGCTTTTCTGCCACACTGATTCCCTATCCATCTTCATGAGAAGTGTGTTTTGGCGTCATAAATAACAGAAAATGTGACACCTACTTTCCTTTCCTTTTTCCAGGCCCATTGCCATCACAATTTAATGATAAAAAGCAGAAAAAAAGTATTTTTTAATGAATCATTTTCACATGCACCACTAAAGGAATAAAATAAACATAAGAACTTAGTCTTGCTGAATTTTCAGGGGTCTGAACATTTTCAAGACGTTAAGAATTTAAGAAATTCTCTACTGATGTTTTCTAAACCCTAAGCAGGTCTTCAGGATGTGGCAAAGTACCACCTTCTCTTTGTTAGGATGCAACTGTCCACTCTCCATGGGTAGGTTCAAACAAAAAATGCAGTCCAGGGGGAAGAATACATGTTAGAGCAAAGTTGAAATGCAAGTCACATTGCCAACCATCTCACCCTTATTTGATTAATATGAATAATTTCACAAACATTTACTCCATCAATCATTGTAATACCTTGATATTTAACAACAAAATGATTAACACGACTGCCTACACAGGGGGTTTCAATTTAGCCCCCAAAATGGTGTAATTTGATTTTACTGAATATTAGGGCAGGGGAAAAAAATCAAAACCTAGGCTTTGGAATCATTCACACCTGGGTTTGAATCCTGGCTTACCGCTCACTCCCTGTGTGAGCTGAGCCTGTCACTCAAGCTCTCTCAGCCTTTGTCTCCTCACCTGGAAAAAGTGAATACCGACAGGGCTGCCCTCACAGGGCAACTGAAAGAATAAAGCGGAATAATAAATGGTAAGAGCTCAGCACATAAAAAAAGCTCAATAAAAGTTAGTTATGAATATAATCTTACAAGTCTTCTAGCCAAATTCGTTTTATAGATATGGAAGCTGAGGCCTTGAGATTTGGAAATGACTTACCCAGGGTCACACTGCTGGTCACCCGCAGTGCCCAGAGAGCCCAGGTCTCTAGAGTCCCAGACCCAATTCCAGACCTGCTAATTAATGCATGCAAGGCTCAGTGACCACAATCTTTCTGAAGCTGAACACCCATATTATTAACACCTGGAAAGGCAAATCGCTCAAGTTGGAACTAGGAGTGGGCAGGAGGGGTTGGGGGAAGGGGGAGGTAAACATGCCTGTGAAGGGTTTGAACTTGTTTTCCAGGTCAAACTGCTGCTTTCCCAGAACTCCAAGGTCTACTTTCAGGTCAGGGCAAATTGCATATTCTTCGATTGTCTTGCTGATTTGGAAAATCTTATCAGTTACTGCTTCGGGAGCAGGACCTGGAAACCAAATAGCAAACAGTGGGTCGTTTTGTACAGCTGACATGTAAACACAAAAAAACACACAAAACTCATCAATTCCTCTTCACTCGCACATCTGCCATTCATCTCATCATCCAGGCAGCAAAGGATCAGGGTTTTCTAAAAGAAAATACCATGTTAGTGACCATTCATGCCTGGCTCCTCACATTCAGGTACAGCAGAATGAGAAGCATTTCATTTCCACCAAAAGGAAACAAAGAGCCCCCTTACTAAGGACCAGAACCAGAACCCTGGCCTCCCACGGCATTGATTAGTGATTTATCCTACTGAACATAACATTGACCATCCTCAAAATGACAGCACACTCACCTCCATTGGAAATATTGAATTTGATTCCAAAATCTCCATTGGGCCCTCCAGGGTTGTGGCTGGCTGTCAGGATGATCCCACCAAGGGCTTTGATCTTTCTAATGATGCAGGAAACAGCAGGGGTGGAGAGGATTCCATTCTGTCCAATAACCAAGCGGCCAATCTAGGAGAAGAAATCCAGAACACACACTTTCGCATCAGTGAGTCCAGAGCTCCTGCGCAGAAACCCCAGTACAACAGGCAGATGAACCAAGAACTATCCTATTGGACCAGGAAAGGGGTTCTTTAATGAATATTTACAGCTTGGGTGGTTATTATTATTTTGAAGTGGAATATTATTATTGTTGACAAATAATACTATTATTGAAGTAAAATCATTATTGTTGAACAAAGCCATTCCTTCAAGTAGTTTTGGGGGACTGTGCAGTTTTAGTGTATGATCTGTACTGTAAGATCTGGCAAGAAAACATAAGAATATGCAAAACAGAGTCTTTCCAGGTTCATAATTTGGATACACTGAAAGAGTGTGAGAAAACCCACATTTTTATCCAATTCAATCATACTTTCCATCCACACTGGGAAAAGAATATAAGTTCAGTTTAAAAGAAATTCTAACCCAATGAGAAGACTTCTATAAATTAAAATGTTTAGAAAAGTAAAAAAGGCAAACTTTATATGAAGTCTATTACAGAATGTACCTCAGAATTTACATTTCCAGTCAAGCTTAGATGTTAATACAGTAGCCTGTCAGGTACTATATGAGTCACCTCTGGGCCAAGGCCTGGAATGCTGAGAGTTAGTACTGGGTAAACCAGTCAGAACTACCCACACGAAAGGGCTACAGGTAGTAGTTTTATTGTGTTCTTAACTCACCTTCCCATCTCTCAAAGATGGTATCAGAGCACAGCTCCTAGATCTTCCTTCACTAACATGATAGTCATTTATGTCTGTCTCAACATGACCCACATTGGACACACATGGAGAAGACTGACATACTTGGAGAAGATGTGACTGCCACATAAAAAGATTTATAAGTAAGGAGTTTGTGCCCTCCCTCCATTCTCCCTTCTGAGACAAGAAAGGGATGGGAATGCTTTGAAATTTTCCACTTGTTATTTCCTCCGGGCCCATCAGAGATAAACATGGTCGAAGAAACAACTTGAGAGTAGATGTGTTTCTCACGGTGAACACGCCAGTGAGATTCCGTTGGAAAGTTTCTCTGTGACTGTCACCTTTGCCATCCTCCCAGAGGCCACCCTCCCATCAGTCACTGCCTTATAATTCCACCCTTCCACCACCACCCACCTCCCAGGAAGCAGCTGGTTCAATGTCAGTCACCTCTTGGCTCGTATGTCTATCTCCGAACAATTTCTGTTATACTAGTATTTTTGTTATATCCTGCCTCCCTCAGGAAGTGCCAACGACCAGGGTAGGGGCTGTAAATAGGCTTCTTTATAAACTAGAGAAACCTGAAGATGGTGTGAAATCAATATTATGATTATCCTGAGCTTCTGAGAGCTTTCTACAGCCCATGGCACTTCCCATTCATTCTCACAAGAGCTCCTCCCATTGTGTGGATGAAGCAGCTGAGGTCAAAGTTGTCACAATCCTGCCCATTTGCTCATTCTTACATCCACCTAACAGAAGAACAACAAGCAATTAGGGAAAGGTGCTATGGTAGACATTGAGATAGATGACATGACAAGGTCACATGGCATCCAGTGGCAATAGCTGGCAAAAGCATTGAAACTTCCTGACTCAATACAGTGGGAATGGAAACATCTCACACGTCCAGCAGTTTCCAGGTGTGGTTCTGAAGAGAATAAAAGACTATGGTTGAGGAGTTCCATGATTTCAATAGGCAAGGCTTAGAAATGGCAACTTAATCAGCCAGAGTGGCTGGTGGAATTATCTGGAAATTGTATTTGCACCTGAAGCATACTGACTTTTACTTAGATTTTGTATGTATTTGGTGTGGAAGGGGAGACTGATAAATGAATATGAATCTATGCCACCCAAATCACCCCTTAATTCTACCATCCCTTATGATGATGTCTACAGTCAGTCATGGCCCAAGACTGAGAGACTAAACCAGGGGGTAATAGTAAAAAGGAAAGGTGAGAGAGAGAAGCAGGGAAGCCCTTAGTAGCTTCTTTCTCCTGGGTCCAAGAAGAGGCACAGCTGGCCAAAACATCCCCTTCCAAAGCAGACTCTTTCCCATGCATCACCCTCAGGAATATTAACTGTAAACTTGATGTTGGGAAAATATCACTCTGTTACTGTCCTTCCGTTAAGGAAGTCTGAAGAACTGTAACAGCCCCTGACTCTAATCTCCCCTGCTTCTCTCCCACCTGGACCTCTGCTGCTCTCCCCTGGCCGAATTGCGCCTACCTCCTCGGGCCCACCTAGTTCACCTTTCTATAGTCCTGTGTCCCTCCTCAACTCAAAAAGCTTCCCTGTACCATTTGATCCAGAAATTACACTTTGAGATATCCACACAAAAGAAAGCAGAGACTCAAACAAATAACTTACACACACATGTTCATAGCAGCATTACACACAACAGCCAAAGGTGGGAACAACCCAAATATCCATCAACAGATTAATGGATAAACAATATGCAGTATATACATACAATGGAATAATACTCAGCCTTACAAAGGAATGAAACTCTGATACATGCTACAACAGGGATGAACCTTGAAAACATAAAATAAACCAGACACACAAGAACAGATATTGTCTGATTCCACTTATATGAGGTACCTAAAGTGGTCAAATTCATAGGCAGAAAGTAGAACAGAGGTCACCAGGGGCTGGGGGGAAGGGAGAATAGGGAGGGGGGGTGATTGTTTAGTGGGTATAGAGTTTTGGATGGAATGATAAGAGTGCTGGAAAGGGATAATGATGATGGTGACAGAACACTGAATGTAATCAATACCACTGAAGCATGCACTTAAAAATGGTTAAAATGCAAAATTTTGTTATGTATGATTTGCCATAAAAAAATAAAAAGAAGAAAGGATGCATCTTGCTCTGATGCCCCAGTGTCTACTGACTCAGAGGGAACCCCCTCAGACTGGCACAGAGAGTCCCTCTTCCACCAGCGTTCCCTGCCCTTCTCTTCTCCTGCTACTCCCGTCTGCCTCTCTCTGTCACACCACCCACTGGGTACCTCACTGTTCCCCAATATTTTATAGTCAGACATGACAGGGAGAAAACTTACATTTTCCTTTTAATTGAAAATAGGGCCTGGTGTCTTCTTATGTTTCACAAAAGACAAGATCCATTTTCTTCGCCCTGCTAGTCATATGCACGGTTTCAAGTCTCATTTCTAAATGTACCTCTAAGTTCAAAGCTCTGGGGACCATATGAGATATCAGGATTAGAAATGCGGCACCACCAATATTTTATTTTGTACATTACAATTCCCTATAACTGCATACAGCTTTATGCAAACAAAGACAAAGGGAAACTAACAAAGGCAAATTATATTCCATAATCCTTAAATGCACCAGATAAAAGTGTACTAAAGAGAAGAAGAAGAAAAAAAGATGATCTCCATTTAGCTCACTAGGCTGAAAAGTCCTCCCAAGAACTGGCTCATGAATGGAGTGGGTACGTATTGACAAAGGCAAGGAAGGAACATTGACTTCTACTGAACTCTGTGGTAGAAGATTATCTTTCCTTTAGATTTCCTCCCACAATCAAAGGGATGCTAAAATAGTCAGAATTTAGGATATGTTAGACAAAGAAGAAATCAAACTATATAGGATTTTAGAGGCTTTACCAGATTACAGTGCTGTATTGGTCCACTAAATGTGTTAAGTAATCCATTTTGGTAACAGGACTGCTCTAAAGGCAACGCTATTTTGAATAAAGAATGCCCTTGCAAAGGCATGAAAATATTGCTTGCGCTGGCTGCCACACCATAGGCAGTTACCATATTTAGTCAATGATTAGCACTTAAATGTATAATTGAGCAAACCTTCAGATTGTAAAACTGAGAAAGTCTATAGAGTCTGCCTGAATTACACATTCCTACCACCTCTTCCACATCCTTCAGCTCCACACAAAAATGAAATGAAGCCAAATACATCACAGCAAAGGGGACAGTGTACCAGATGCACTCAACAGCCCAGATATATGCGGGGAAATAATGTTCCATTCATTCTCTCTCAAAAGATTAAAAGCATCTTAATACCATTCCCTTTGCAGCTCTCCTCAAAGGTGAAATTTATAGCATGTCACATTTTATCTTAAAAATGGGTATGTGTCATAATAATTTCATATGTGAGTGCTTTATCAGCAATTTTTACATGAAAGGCATTCAGATTCTGAACTAGGTAGAAAGGAAACTTTGCATTATAAGCAATAGGATTTACAAACATTTAACATTTTAATTCGGTAGTGTTTTTGTTGTTGTTTAATTTGGCTTTTGCAATCACACCTGCTTGGCATATGATTAAAATAGACAGAAAATGAATGCCCAACACATTTGATGGCAATGCTAAATTATGATCCCAGTAACAGAATCGCTTCTAGAGAGGAAGTAGAAAAGATTTTTTAAATTTACAGGTACTAAAAGACTTTGTTCTCCAAATTATTGCTAAGCATAATCTAAAACACTAGAAATATATATTTTTGGTCTCACAGAGGGATTTGCAGAGCAAAGACAGCGATGTGCTGCTGCCCACCTTCCTAAAAATCAGTGGGACTGTGCAAACTGTTAGATTATCAAGATCAGTGCTTTCTGGCACAAGATTCCTTCTGATTTGGTTAATTCGGCCAACAAGGTTTCTCCCAATGCAAAGCGTTAGCAGAGCCTCCTTATAGTATAGTCTCACAGGAGTTATCTCTACTCTGCTGCACAAATTCACCGCACACAGGGCTTCTTTGTGTCCAAGGTCATTATAAGCAGGTTCCCCTGTAACAGGTCCTCTGGGAAGGCTCACACCTAACATTTTCCAATCCCCTCCTCATAATTCGCATGACTACCAGGACTCATCAATAACAGCATGCCCTGGCTTTTGTTTTCCTGTTTGACAAGTGACTGAACTTCAACAAGGAAGCCATTGAAAGAAAACAAAATCCTCCTCTCTCCACTGCTCATTAGAGCCTTCTGAGAAAGGACAGAGTGCCCTCAAAACCAGTGAGAATGTA